AAAAATCAATAAATGTATTCTCAGAAGTAAAACATCGACACTGAATATAACTTTCAAATATTTCTTGAAAGAATGTTTCTTGCCACAGTGACACATAAAAAACATGTTGTGTCATATACGTTGAGGTTAATCAGAATGTATACACCCATAAATTAGGGATAGCTTTAATTGGTTAATGCCTAGGATGTAATTAGATAGAGTCAAAGTAAATGAATCCTTATTAGTCACTGGGTTGCAGTGTACTAGAAACTCTCTGCTTGTGTCCACCAGAAATCCGTAATTGTGCAGTCATTCTGACGGTAAATTGATATTTTGGGAGGATGTGCCACTGCTCATAGTGGGACACTGCTCTACACTGCTAGAACACGTCATAAATCCTGGTGGCACAAACCGTGAATCTGTTCTACTCCAAAACAAACAAAGCCTGTTTTATTGTACATATAAAGGAAACCTGGCCCTGTTAGGTGTTCAGTATGTTAAGTGAGAAGTTACACTTTTAACTTACCTAATTATAAAAGTGATAAGGATTTGACTTTTCAAATCATATGGTCTGTGCTTTGAAGCTCCTCTTGTGGGCTACCATCCATGACAAAAACCTGACAGGGACTGCTGTCTGTGTTTTACCCTTCTCTAAGTGACGTCATTTACTGTGTCCTGGAAATCACTTCAGAAAATCACGTTAGTCTACTAAGCACTTTAGATGAGGCAATTCCATGAAGCATTCCAAGATTATCACAAGGAATTGCTCTCATGTGCCATAAAAGAAAAATGAGCAGAATATGGCCTGCTGAAGGAGTTACAGTTTGACAGCCCCTCCCACAGAAGCACTAAGGCCACCCAGTGACAGTTAGCTCTGGTTAGCACTCACGGGTTGAAAGCCTAACAGTTGCCACACTCGGGGTGCGTGGGGCCATTCGCATGTGTGTCTCTCAACCGATGATGAGGGTTTCGGAGCCGATGCTGGACATGGACATGGGAAACTACAGCGAAGTTTTGGACCCGACTTACACAACTTTGGAGTTTGACACCATGCAGATTCTGTATAATTCCAATGGTAAGTTTTCATATGTAAGAGAAGTAAGGCCCTGAGGAGAAGGAAATGGGGCTCCTTGAGGTACTGGCTTAGCTTCATTGCTGGGGAACCCAAGAATTGCTTTGAAGGCCACAAATCTGAGGCTTTGTGCATCATCATGAAATTTAAATTCATGTTGCCATGGCTTTTTAATATTAGAGGTAGGATAGCTTATATTTGTGTTATAAAAAGTAACCTTGGAGTTCTATATGAGCCAGTGGGGTAAGAAGCATAGTTTCAAGGGCTATTTCATTTGCTGTACATAGTAGTAATAAGTAATTTTGACAGATTGGCCTTGAAAATACATATTCTATGCAATATTTCAAGAGGCTTATGGGCATCTTTACATGGGATGCTGGGGAGTTTGCCGATTTCCCCCTCCCTCTGATCCTTTTAGAACTCATGATGATGATGATGAGAAACTACACTGAAAATGATTGTGCAGTCTTGTGCCGGCCACAGATATTAAAAGAAATAAAGGTTTATATTATAACCTTAGGTGGCAGGCTAATGTTTAGCTTCACAGAACTCTTGGTGTTTATCTACTGTAACATTTTAACTTTTACTAAGACACAGATTGCTTGGGGTTTGGGTCTTTATGTAATACAGCTTACTATTCACTCTGAATGTATATTTCTTTTCTAAGGAGAAAGTTTACTCAAGGCAGGTTGTGACTGTTATAACTTAGAGTTATGTATGCTATGGGAAAGGTGTATATGTGTATGTGTGTCTCTGTGTATGCTTGTATAGTTTAGGACTTAGGAATCATCTTATGATTATCTTAATAATCTATTGAACTGTGAACTTCATTTATATTTTCAATAAACAATACCCTAATAGTGGGGAGACTTTTAGAAATTGAAAAACCCAAATCTGTAATTTCACACACATACACAAAAATAGAGTGAAGCTATATTGTAATTCTTAGGAAGACACAGTTTTGATCAGTAAAGTATTTATAGTAGAATCAGAGTTTTTAATGATAGACCACAGATTCACAAGGAGTAGGTATGGATGTTCCACATATATCTATTGTATTTATCAGTGTATACTAAAATAATTCACATTCATAGTTACTTATACATTAGTGTCTAACTTGTTTGCTAGTAACAACATTGTCAACTGCATGTAAATATGGCATTAAACATGAAGCCAGAGTTGAATTTGTTTTTAATGTTATCCAATAGAGTACAGTTGATTCTAGATACTCGATTTTGAAATAATTTTTATTATTTAAAACAACTTTTAAATTTAACTATGTTATGATGATATTCTTCCCCTCTCCAAGTTTGTCCAGTCCTAGCCCCCTCCCTACCCACTCAACTTTAAATTCTTTCTTAAAGAACAAACAAAACCCCAATGTAGCAATAAAAATTCTCAAAACCAAGAAATTAAAATAAAACAGCACCCACAAAGAAAAACAAAATAGAACAGTATGACAGCAGCAAACCCACACAACTGTAACCAAACCACAGGACACAAACACTGGGAAGTCCATTGGGTAGGTCAACTGTTCCTGAACACGAGACCTTCCCTGGAGTGCCTGATGTGCCCCCACTCCACTGGAGAAAACCGATGTTCCCTCTCCCAGCAGGCAGGCATAAATGATAGCTCAGTTGTTAACCTTTACACTAGTGACTAGATTTTCATTCAAACTTTTTTTAAATATAACAAAATAAAACATAAGATAAAACAAAACGTCATATTGAAGTTGGACAAAGCAAACCAACAGAAGGAAAAGAAACTAAGAAAAGGCACAAGAATCAGAGACACACTCATTCCCACACTCAGAAATGCCATAACAAGACCAAACTGAAAGCCACAGTATCTACATAGAGGGCCTGGTGTAGACCTGTGAAGGCTTTGTATATACTGCTTCAGTCTCTGTGAGTTCCCAGGAGCCATGGTTAGTTGATTCAGAGGGCTTTTCTCCTGGTGTCCCCAATCCCTTCTGGCCCTTACACTCTTTCCACCTCCACTTCTGGGGAATTCCCTGAGCTCTGAGGGGAGGGATTTGATGCAGAGATCGCATTTAGGGAAGATATTCCAAGGTCTCTCACTCTCTATGTAATATCTGGCTGTAATTTCAGACACTTCTAACTTCCACATTGCTAATACCTTGTTAAAAACATTAAAACATTAAAAAACATTCCTAATATTTGTAATCTGCATTTTATGATGCCTCATCATTAATTTTCAATATATTTTTATCAAGGTTTTTTCAATTTTATGAAATTACATATAATGCTATTTATCTATTAAAATAGAGCATACTCATAAGTAGAATATGTATAATATCACATAATGTAATTAATATATGCCAACTTTTAAATTTGTCCATTTTTATTATAGATACAATAATGGTTTATTATTATTCCTGTGATATGTATTCAGTTTATGCTTCATTAATATTTTATGGTTGAATCTATGACCTTGTGCTTACTAGGCAATTGCTTTGTCATTGAAGTATATCCCTAGTCAACCAAATTTAAGTTTTAACATAATGCCTAATGTATTTAATGTCTTTGAGTTCATTGGAATTTATGAAATATTTTCAACAATATCAATTCATTAAAAATTTTTATGTATAAAACACATACACACACATGCACATACACACACATGCACACGCGCACACACACGCGCGCGCACACACACACACACACACACACATATATATATATATATATATATATATATATATATATATAGTATTTTTTCTTAAAACTGTATTAGATGTTCCACTGTAGCTGGGCACAATTCAGTGAGGTGGGACACAGTAGGATGAGGAACACAGATGAATTGTCTGGCATCATGATGTTGATATTCTGTGTAATGATGAATTCATGAATCAACCCATTTGTAGTGTAATTCCAGGAAATGATAATGTACCTTGAAATAATAGGAGTTTGTGGAACTTTAGGTTCTGCTTGAAGGATAGATGAGAGATGACTATGAATTCTTAAAGAAGATTCATGCTGAATGTGAGAAGTGATCAGAAACCTTAGAATTAGCTTAAAGCGAGACTTGGAAAAGTCCAGGCAACTAAAAGTACAGTTTATGAAATCAGGTTTTCCACGAACACAAAAGTGTAGTGACCAGTGGACAGGATGAAAAAGACAGTGGGCAGTGAGAAGTGGAAACAGCCAGAGTAGGAGACATTGGAGTGCAGGCCATCTTGGGTTATGGTAAAATAACTTTCTAATGAGAGGTCATAGAGGTCCTGGATGGACAAAGGTGACATGAAGTGGCTGCCTGTTAGAAAATAAAGAGAAAAGGAGTCCAGGACACAGTAAGAAAATTATTTAGAAAGCTATTCTAATAACACTGGGAAAGGGTGATGGTATTGGATAAAAGAAGACTGAAGGTGAAGGTGAAAAGTGGGGTGAATACTCACCTTAAATATGGGGTCACAAAAATAAATGGTGATAGAAAGAATTCATGAAAGACACCCACAACTTTATCTCTGTTGTGGAGCCATTGACTTTTATGAGGACAACTGAATGAGGCTGAAGATCCACTGGGGGTTGTGGGCAGGAAAACTAAGTTCTCTTTTCAACTATTATGCTTACTAGGTTTCAAAATGAAATTCTTACATAGGTTCTTAAGTCTTTAAAACTGTATTCTGTGGTGTTATTATGGCATAAATGAAATCTGAGGATTTTTCTATCATACAGTTGATATCTCATGTCATGAGATTGCAGGAGATTCCCTTGGGGATGGTGCTAGTTAGGGGATTGAGCCCAATAGTAACCCAAAATTATATGACCACAAATATGAGACAGAAGCCTGAGGAGGATGCTTCCAGCACTTGAAAGGAAGACATCAGTAAGGGATCCTCCATAAAGCAAAGACTAGCCTACTGGTGCGCAGTAGAGCACTGTGCTAAGTGGTCAGCGACACTAACTCTCTCATCTTTCTTCAACAGACAGTTCTGCCCCAGAGACCACAAGTATGAATACCACAGACAGTGGTGTCAACTGTCTGTGTGCCATATGTGGGGACCGAGCAACAGGGAAGCACTATGGGGCATCCAGCTGTGATGGCTGCAAGGGATTTTTCCGGCGCAGCATCCGGAAAAGTCACGTTTACTCCTGCAGGTATTACTGAAGTGCTCATTTTAGCAAAGTTTTCTTTTCTTGTGTCTGAAGATGCCGTGGGGATGTGAGAAAAGTGAACTGAGCACTTCCATAACTCCATAACTCGGAACAAAAGTGCCAAGCTTCAAAAAAGTGTATGATTGTATGTGCAGTTCACATTCACACCAGTAGTTCCATCCTATGAACAGTTTGAGACTTGTAAATGTGTATAAAGAAATTCATACACCTACCACCCAGTTCAGAGCAATATAGTTGAACCCTCCAGTGGACACCTCCCTGGCCACTCTGTCATTCTCCTCAATGTTCCAGGAGGAACCACCATTTAGAATTTAGGGTTAATCTTTCCCTGTGTCTCTTTATTGTTTTATCGCATGTTCATACACCACTAAACATTTGTAAATCTTTTTAAATGGTTTCTTTAAGATGTGTATATAGATTGATTTTTTTCATTTCCCTTTCAGGGTTGCTATATCCTAGATCTTTAAGCACAAAATTATAAAACTACAGATGATTTTGTAACTTACCAACTCAAAGGGTGAATTTGATTTTTCACTTCAAATTAATTCTCATATTAAATTTTACATAATCGACAGTGTTTTGTCTAGATCTCATTTAATTACTTCATGTGTCCATACATTCCTAATAGTCTTTTTGATATTACTTAGTCAATATTGTAGCTCATTTTAAGTTTAGGTATTGATCATGATTGACTTCTATGGTAATTCTTGAATATAGATTGTTTAGGTTGAACTTGAACTTTTGACAGAATTCACTTATTTTAACAGAAGAAAATCTGGTTTTATTCTATCAGTAATAGATATTATCACTGGTTGTCATCGTTACTGTTTGGTTGGAATAGAGATTAAATTCAGGGCTTTCCACATTCTAGCCAAATACTCTACATTACCAGTCCAGCAATGCTGTTGTAAAAACTAGTTGGACACTTGAGAATTCCCAGTCAGTAACATTAGACTGTTCAATGTTGATTGAAATTTCAATTTAAATTTTCAATGGAAAATATAGGCAGCATTCATCTATTCTGTGCGTACGTCAAGATCTTGAACATGTGATGAGCTTAGTGATGCTTGTAATAAATTTAACACATAACTCCACTAATATCTACCTTGTGTTGTCTTATAATAATTTTTGCAGGGGAGTTTGATGTAGGTTTATAAAAATGCAAATCCTCCACTTTTGAAATATGACAAAGAGAAGAACATTTAGATGGTATTGTGTATATACACAAGCACATTCCATAGCTAAGTATGAATCATCTCCTCCACCAAACACATTTTCACTATGGCTACATGACACACATAGAGTTCTTCACGTTAACACCTAAAGGAACAAAGGAACATAGAGGTTCCAGTGTTCTGAGTCATGTGCACTATTAAAAGTAAAACACATCAACATGAAAAGTGATGATTCTGACAGTGGAATCTGATGATTTGCACATTTCCTTTATGGGGTGAGTAGGGAAGAATACCTCCCAGAACATTTTTTAGGGTTTTCTAGTCCCCTTGGAGCAGAAGCAGGTAGATGTTTTGTGCCTGTCTGCTGTCAGCTCTCTAAGCTTCTTTACAGTTTTGAGTATCAAGAAAGCTCTGTGATCTATTTTTTAATCACTATTATATAGATGCAAATTGAGAGACCTTAATGTCTCTTTAGTAAAATTTACTTGTCTCAAATGCATCCCATTTCTTAGACTGATAAATTCTAATTTGACTTTAATAGCCCTATGATGCTGAAGCTGGCCTTTCCTTTCTAATGTACTTAAATCTTCTACTTCAGTACTATTCACGGATGCTTTCTATAACATTTGTTAATGTTCCTGTGTACTTGTTAGATTGCAATTTCTTTGAATGGAAAATATAGGCAGCATTCATCTATTCTGTGCCTAGGTCAAGATCTTGAACATGTGGTGAGCTTAGTGATGCATGTTCTCCTACTTTTGCTGTTTGATTAATGTTAACTAGATGTACACTTCTTGTGATTTCATCTGGTTTACTCTACTGAATCTCTTCATCCCCATATTAAAACAATGTCTTCTTTTCTTACTCTGAGAGGACCACTCACTTGGAGCTTTTTTCTTACTCAATGTTAAGTCACTGTTCATAAATTTTAATAGGTCACAAAACACATTCTGTTGCCCTCATCATTTAGTAATCATCTGTAAGAAATGAGGCAAGAGCATCACATGTAGCTAGGAACTTAGATTTTAGCATACACAGAATTGTGTGACTATCGCTACCATCAGTTAAGAATAGAATTTAGTTACTCTGTAAAGAAGATCCTATTAGGATGTCCTCCAGTTTCCCTAACTCTATCTATGTCAGTGTGAAGAAACTGTTAATCTACTTTCTGTTTCTACAGATTTGCCTTTCTGGACACCGCACTAATGAGCCATGCACTATGGGCCTTTGGTAGCACCTCTGCTTGGAAGTGTTTTTTCAAGGTTCATGAACAGTGTAGCATGTCTGTGGGTCCTTCATTCTTGCTTATTAACAAATAGCACTGTTCCATTGTCTGTGATTCTTATCTACTTATCACTCCAACATCTTGTTCACTAGGAAAATACTAATCTGGAAATAGGTTTTCATTTTTTTCTTGGGTATACACAAAAGCTTGGAATTGCTGTGTCCTATGTGTAACTCTTTGTTTAACTTTTTGAAAAACCACTAAGCATTCTCCCAAAGCAACAGCAGCATTTAATATTCTATCTCATAGTGTATAAGAGTTTCATTTTTTTTTTACATCTTCATCAACACATGTATCCCCCTCATTCTGGGCTTTTTAAAGAGAATAAACCAAAGCATCATTAAGAAGTTACATTTTCAGTGCTGTTTTCAATAGTCTGTAATTTGATAATTGAAGTAAATCTCAATCCAACTCAGTAATTTAAAATTAATAGAGTAAAAATATTTAAAAGGAAAAAAAGACATGAGTGTAAAAGGTATGAATCATGACACATTGTCCACCATGCTAAAATTGTTTAGCAATAAACACCAAAATTTATATGGCAAAAATTTTAAAGCTAGGTTTGTCGTTCGTGACTCATAATTATGTACACCAGCCCAAAATGATGTAGTCATTCAGTTTTATGTTAATATAAAGACTATCTGAGAGGTGAGCTGTGCATTGCCATGTATGTGCCTACCATGAGATGTTCAATTTCTTAGAGAACTACTTTTATATGTGCTTTGTATTGAGCCTGATTTGACTGCAATTACTTAAAGTCTAATTGGTTGCTTATGTGCTTTTTTGATAAATGATGGGTTTCCGTGAACTAATGTGTACTTCCTGTTATAGGTTCAGTCGCCAATGTGTTGTTGACAAGGACAAAAGGAATCAATGTAGATACTGTCGATTAAGAAAGTGTTTTCGAGCAGGAATGAAAAAAGAAGGTAATAATAATGATGATGATAATTAACATTATTGATGAAAAGTGATAACAATGTGCAAGAATTCTCATTAATCATATAACCTACTTAATAAGCTCTGATTTCTCTCAATATATTAATAGGGAATCTGTCAAAGAGTTCCTAGAGTGAAAGAATTTAGCCCAAGGATACACAATCAGTAAGTCATAGAACTAGAGTTTATCTGCTCTGATTCTGACAGCACCCTCTACATCGTCAAGATCTATAGCTCTTAAAATCTGTAGATTAAAGCTATGGATGTATTGTATACACAATTTTCATTCTTACTAACAACCCAGTATCTTTACTCATCTCATGAACATCAATTACATATCATCTTTTTATGCATTCCTCTATTTAATAATATTCATTGGACATTACTGTTTCCCAAACGCTGTTCCAGGTACTGAGATTTGAACTGAGGACTTGATAGACAAGACAGTCCTCTATCCTGAGCAGTTTGTATTCTATTCAATAACAGTGGCAGTACAGAGATGGAATTAGTGTATGTTGGTTTTATTTCTGTCATGTTAAGTCATCTCATCCTATCTTTTCTCATTATGATATGTCTAGAGACAAGAGTGTTATACACCCCCAGCATCTGGCAGATTTAGCAGCTGTAAGATTTTAGGCCTGCAGTTTGTTGTGTGCCTGTGCCTGTCATATGCAAAGAGCTGTTTTCTACAAGAAGATTACAAAGTTAAAAAAATAAAGTGAAATCAAATCATGATACTGCAGAAGCCTAAAATATATGAAATCCATTTTGGACATAGCTATTTTTCTCTTAACTCAGTAATTTAAAATCACAAAAATTTTGTTAGCTTTTATTGCTTTGCTGATCTTAAAAGAATATTACTAAAGAAAGTTCACTAAATTGAAGAGGCAATTTCCCCTTTCACAAATGATGTAGGTGAGGTCCCAAAAGCCCCATAGGTAGTTGATGGGAATAATTGCAATATTTATCAAATATCTTTTTGTCTTATTACCTGAAGACCAATCTTTACCTTAGAAAATTGTAAACAACACCAAGCCTGCATTTCCCCTTTGAGTCTTAGGAAATAAAATTACCTTTTAAAATAGTGAAATTACATCTTCTACTGTTAGATTAGATATTAACTTTTGAGTTTCAAAATTGATGTATCTCACTCTTCAATAAATAATAGAACTTAATCTCAACATTAATTAAGTGGAAACAGAAATGTGGATTTTTGTAAAACTTGAAAACAATGAAAATACTATAAATGCTTATGATATATTTCAATATTTTTATAAAGTTTGATCATATGGATAAAATTTAGAAAAGCAGAGAAATGTCTTAGTTTTAATTTCTGTATATGTATTTCCACATAAATTGAAAGTAATTGAAATAATTAGCTATCAGTAAGTATGATTTTTAATATAAAATGTTAAACATTTGATTTTCCCTAAAGATGTCTCTGTAGACAAAAGCCCTCTCTTTTTCTGCTAATTTAACAGAGTCAGTAGTTGCAACTCTTAGGTCTCTGTGACATTGATGTAGAAAGTGGTGGATTTCTTTGCTGGAGAAAATTTTGGTAGTTTGATATCTACAGCCATACTACCCTGAATGAACCCGATCTCTTCATATTTCTCACAGAACTGATTAAAGCATTAACCTAAACAGTTGGGGGGGGGGTATAGGTCTTGTTTTCTTGTCTTTGGTTAATGGGAGATCATTTTATATCCTTATTTTTGAAATTTAACATTGACATCTGACACTTTTTCTATGAGTATATTTATATGCAAATTTATGGAGTAACAGTTTTTTCTTCCTATGCTTAAAAATTTGGTTTTCAATAAGGGTTTTGGATATTGCCATTATTTACTTTTACCTCTCTGAATCAAGGAAGCAGGCCTACTTATCTCAGAGATATTTTCTATAATGTAAGGGATGACTTTATCTGTCAGAGAAGCAGATATTCAGGCTTCCATCTTCTAGGGAGATACCTCAGATGGTGCAATGATTTCTGAAGCTAACATCAGTGGACAATGTTTTATAAAAGTCACAGACTTGATTAAAGCCATCATAACTAAAATAAAGTTACTCTCCATTTTTGGTAGTATTTTATGCTTTAAAAGAAAATAGGAATTTCAGAATCTATGACTCACCTCTCCTGATAGTAGGTATCTTATTATCTTTGACTGAGCCAACCTGGCAGGCAGTATTCCTCATTAGTTACAGTTTTATTAACTGTGAGAGAATAGAAGACCATCTTATGAAAAACACAGCCTGTCAAAACTGGTTGACCCAATAGTTCCCAACATACAACCCATCACTAATTCCAAGTAACTGTATTTTATGAGCTATGTCCACAAGCTTGGCCATTCCTACCTTTAAAAGTGATTCAAGAAGAATCTTGAGAAACCATCTGTGAACTTCTGTGCTTTTCCTTGTTTCTAACCATGTGTCCTAGCCTACATTAGAGATCTAACTAATAATGACTGGGGTTTTCTTCCTTAGCTGTGCAAAATGAGAGGGACAGAATAAGTACCAGAAGAAGCACATTTGATGGCAGCAACATCCCCTCCATAAACACTCTGGCACAAGCTGAAGTCCGCTCTCGCCAGGTACTCACCACACCTCAGCACTGGCTCTGTTCAGTAGAACCCAGTGTCTGCTGATACAAAGTGCTGTAATCTGAGTTCACGGCTTTGTGCTCATTTGTTGCTAAAGTTAACCTAGACAAGCTCAAAAGTATAACTTTGAAAGTAGTAGGAGAATCGCTGACTTAATTTTGAATTTTTTTGAACAGGACCCTGTCTTTACATTGTTGGGATGTTTATTTATGAAGCTGAGTAAAAATAAAACACCATGATGCTCTAGTGGCAATATTTTATTGGTTGAATCTGTGAAATCAACTGCCACAATTTTGAGGGACTTTGTCATCAGAATTTCTTTCCTTAATTTATGTCTGAACTCAAGAAGTTGACTCACTACCTCCTGAGGGAGCGGGTGATTCTGAGAATTAAAGGCAGAATTCACAAAACAGGGAAGAAAGTAGATTTCTTTATTTTCAAATTTTAGAATAAGAATATCAGGTGTAAAGTTAAAATGGTAAATCATTCATTTTACACATAAAACCCAATCATTTAGGAGTCTGATATATAATCTTTTGAAGAGAGTATATTTTAGCATTGCCTTTATTGGAAGTGTTCGGGGTGTTTGTCTATGACAAAGCAAATCATGAAATAGCTAAGTAGTTAATCAGGTCCTGTAAGGAGGCAATGAGTCTCCTTTCGTTCTTGATAACACAGGAGTAAAATGATGAGGTTACCATCGCATTATCATCACTATTACTTGAAGATTACTTGATGATCCAATAAAGCATTTAGAGCATGACTTAAAGGGGAGCTGGAAGGACACCTCTGGGTTCACATGACAAACACGCACACACACACGCATTCACATGAGAGTCCACGGTTAAAATTAGTTTTCCAAGACTTTAATTAGGTAGTATTTGCTTTCTCAGGAGAAACCATTTTAAAGTCTCATTTATATTTTCACACAGTCAAAAGTGATGTGCAATTCAAAAATGATTATCATTGTGTGTTAAGCTTTCTACCATTGCCGAGTCAAAGGTTTGTTTCTTAATTTTGTTTTTATGGCCTTCTGTTTAATGTGGCATCACCAATATTTCTAGTTTCTTCTCTAAGTATTTTTTACCTTTTATAAATTTTATCCACTAGCTATTTTTCATCAAAATCAACAAATTAAAGATGGACTCACAGTAAAAATAAGAGTTTTAACTAAAAATAAAATCACAGAGTTTATTTCTTGTGGTTACTATCAATTTTTTTATGTAACCAGTTTGAACTATAAAATTTCTCCTAAAGCCTAACCTGGTTTATAGATTTGGTATTTAAAATAAAATCATACACTCAGAGTGTGGATTTATATACATGTTTTAAATTTAGCTTTAAGCCAATAAGGATTTTGTTTCTCATATCTGATATTAAAGTACTATGATAATAATAATTTTTGCTTCCATGCTGTTTACTTTATGTAGTCATAGAAAAAGGATTATTGTCTATCCAGTAGTTTCAGTGATAAATTAATATAATGTTCTATTAACATTAGATCTCAGTCCCAAGCCCCAGTGCCAGTACTGACATAAACGTTAAGAAAATTGCAAGTATCAGTGACGTTTGTGAATCTATGAAGCAGCAGCTCTTAGTCTTGGTGGAATGGGCCAAGTACATCCCTGCCTTCTGTGAACTGCCCTTGGATGACCAGGTAAGACTTCCAAGAAATCATGACTCCCTTCGAAAGTGCTTTTGATCTTTGCCAAGTTCTTGTGCTCTTTGATTTACATTTGTAATTTGGTATATTAGACAATGGATGGACTATTTTGTGAACCAAACACAGGGTTTTTCTCATCTTTTTATTTCCTTATTCTGTCAAGAGACAGAACTGTCTTGTGTCTATTGTCAGGCTCTAGCAAAATTATTAATTGGTTAAGAGTTGATCAGGACAATCTTCTGCGGTCTTGGGGTTTAAATATTTCCATGAGGAAGAAAGATGAACAGCAAATAACTCCACTCATGAAGTTTTTTGGCTGTTAGAGGAGTAAATGTTTGGTAAGTTGGAGGAAGAAGGTGGTGTGCCTTGATGTCTTGAGTTTCCTGAAGGTACCGAATGAGGTCCTTCAGAAATGCCTGGAAACTCCTTGACAGAAATCAAGTAGGATGTGTTGGTGTCTTGGTGGATCCTTTATATAATTAACATGTAAGATTTTTCTTTTGTGCTATCAGTTTTATTCTGTCACTTACTGTATTTAAATATAGATGTGGCATAATGTCCACAGTTTCCATTCCTGAAATCTACAAAGAAAAAGAAACTAAGATATAGGCTTTTTTATATGCATTTTTAAATTTGCCATATTTACATTAAGAAATTTTAATTAATAATTAGAAACTTAGATTTCCTCATTAGTACATAAAGATTTATTTGGATTTGATTCACTTCGAGCTTTTCTTCCTAAAGCCTGTATATCTTTTTGTAGATAAAAATAGTCTTAACATTTCTATTTCTTTCACACTAAAAGAATTAGTAAAACGAAGAGTTTAACCCAGGATGTATACAGCCTCTGACCAGTGCAGTTACTGACACAGGAAAACCTCCCCAAATATAAGAGAAAGCAAGTGTGATTGTGTAAAAATCAAGGAAGATGGAAATAGTCACATACCAGAATGGAACAGACTCATCATAGGAAGTTAGCAATTATATTTCTAAGAAGGTATTTTATTTCGTGACAGGAAAAAGTTTCATGAAAACTGAAATCACTCTTACAGTGTTTTGTAACTCCCTTCCTGGAGTGAGTCACAGTTATTGACATGTCATAAAGATAGCTTGGCTCAGAAGATTATGCCAGAGTGAATAATGCTAAATTGCTAAAACCTGCCAATCTCACCCCAAGCAATATAAGTAGGGCTGTGTTATTTATCAGCTTTATATTTTTTATAATCATTCGTCTTTAAAACCTACTGACATATATGAAGACAATGGCCCAAATATTGGGAAATTGAAGATCAGTAACTAGTTAAACAGCTTTTGTTTACTGCTCGTTAATATTAACAACATAACATTAGTAGTTATGGTTAGTGAATGCCTGTTGTGGGTAAGGCACTGGGAATGAACTCTCAAATGTGTGATCAAGTATGTTATTCCATTTAATTCTTTTAGGAGCTCTGTGGGTTAGGTGTTATCTCCATTTTACAGTTCCTGAAACTGGACCCCAAATCAGTTTATTCCATCCATAAATCCATGAGATGACTATTTTTATTAGGAGACTACTGGTTTCAGTTAGAATCTGAGGGGATCCTGCAGTAAAAGTGAAGATTGCTTCATTGGTCTCATAAACTTTGTGGTCTATTTTGGAGAGACTGATAATAAAAAATATACAAATTATGAGTAAGTTGACTCTAGGTGGGGATAAGTTCTATGAAATTCAATAAAATGGAACAGGATGAGTAGGCGTGGGATGGAAGGACTTTATGGTGGGAATCAGAGAAGACATCCCCCAGACCAGAATGGCGAGGGCCAAGGTCAAAGGAGAAGAATTCTGAGTCCATGAACGCTATGCCCAAAGGTTCTCAGGCAGGTGGAGCAGCATGAACAGCGAGTGTTGTAAGATAAAGCAGGAGGAGGAGGGAAAGGAGATAATGTCCACTCACCTCGTGTCACCCCTGAGGCCACAACTGAGAAATCTAGATTCAGTTTTAAGGACAATATGAAACCACTGAAAAGTCTTTAGCAGAGATGTGACATTGATTCAGCTTCTTGTATACACATACATATGAGCACTCTCATATGAGCACTCTCAAATGTGTATTCGAGAAGCTAAATCAAAGATGCATGAGAAGATGTAATGAAGAAGTAAAAATAACCATGGAGTGTGCAGGAGTGGTCCAGGACACAAGTGACAGCCTGGGCCAGGGTGGAATCCCCTGAGAAGAGAAACAGCAGATGGATTCAGTTTACTCGTTAATAAGCATCCCTGAATAGTTGGAGAACACTCCAAATAGGCTCCTGTTTGGACACAAACAATCATGTTTGGAGAATGGTACCATTTCCAACTGTGCGGAAGACATAGGAGAAGTAGTCATTTGGGATGTCTTATGCTTGCCTTGTTTCCTCCGGTTTTTAGTGATGAGGCCCAGCATGTAACGGAGTGTAAGAATGAGGCTCTGTTGAATGGTCACTGCTGTGAATCAGATGCCCAATCTAGAAACAGGCAGGACCCAGCCACCTTTCCTTCTTCTTTGCAAGCCTATGGTTGGCTTTTCTTTATTTAATTTGTTATTTGCAGGAAATTATGTTTATACATATTTCACAATTTAATTTTTAGGAAGACATTTGGTAATTCATTTTATATGAAAACAAATGATATCCAAACCTCCTACCAGGTGCATGTAAGGTAAAAAAGGGAATCAAGGAGCAGGCCACTGAGCTGGGGTATGAACTCAAACCTGCTCCATTCTGCTTGCCTAAGAAACAGAAGATCTTCTTTTCTCTGCTACCCCAAAATCAAACATTTCTGATGTGCTAAGATAGAAACTTAGAAATCCTAATCATTTTAAGTATGTATGAATTTTATATGTCAGAACAAAACAAGGCAGAAAAGGAGTCAGGCTTACGGAAGACTGTAAGTTAATCAGACTCACCTTGTACTGTCTTTTAATCATTATATTTTATAATTAATTGTTAAACTTGGAAACTTTCATTAAGGTGGCCCTGTTGAGAGCTCACGCGGGAGAACACTTACTGCTTGGAGCTACAAAGAGATCCATGATGTATAAAGATATTTTGCTTTTGGGTAAGATATTTTTAAAGGAGAAATTGTGCATATTTTATATTTACAATATGTAAGATCTATCCTGCATGCATAAAGCACACAGACATTGGGGAATGGTACTCCGGTTTTCAAGGTGTATGCCGTTCATTTTGTCCTTACTCAGCTCTATTGTGGTGCATGTGTGCGTGCGTGCGTATGTGCATGTTTTTGGTGCCTGGTGTGATCAGAGAACAGATTGCTGGGGTTGTTCTCTTCTCCAACTATGTGTGTCCCAGAAATGGAATCAGGTTCTCCTGCATGGATGTAACCATCTTTACTCATTGAGCAGTCTTGCTGGCCCTCCTTTTCTTTTTATACTCCTTCAATGAACACATTTATTTCCTATGATCTGGTCGTTCATAATATACTATACAATAATTTTATTAGAAGTGGTGGGCAATGTCTGAACAATTCTGGTAAGTAGAATTGTAAGAAGCCACAAAAGAATAGCGCGTTGAAGGTAAAAATACATGAGATCTGTTGTTTTCACTAAAAATTGTCTCAGCCCTGTTCTGGTAACTCAGGACATTAAGTTCTGAGTGATATTTTGGTCTCAAATGTAAACAAATGGAACACAGTGTAAGAGCAGCTAATATCTATTAAAGGTTAATATTTATTAAATACTCTGCTTTAAGTGCATTGTGCTAACATACACTCTCCCATTTAATCACTGAAACAAAACCCTACTATCCTGCTCATTCTACAGTGAAGAAATAGATGAAGGGGATGTCTTGATCATGATGGAAAGTCAGGCAGCCAAGACCTGGAATTCCAAACCATAATGGGACCACAGAATGTGCCCTGGACCTCAGCTAAATGCTTTGGTTGCATTTCTACCAAGCACTGCAACTACTGTCCTTTCTGTAAATCTTTTTACAACATATGCTGGAAAACAAGTGTTCCATACCTCATTCTTTCTTGCTTTTTCTGTAATAACTAGGTCAGATGTTTTCATATGACAGAGTAAGACACACACACACACACACACACACACACACACACACACAGAAAACTATATGCAATGATGGATATGTTCATTTGTGTGACTATGGTAATCATTTCCCTTTCCATGTATATGTATATACAAGTATCACACTTGCACACTTTAAATAGGTACAATATTTTAATCCCTCACACATCAAGAAAGCTGATTTGGGAGCTGGGAGAAAGGTTATCACTTTAGTGATTGGATACTTTTGACATACAGAGGAAAATACCCTAAATAATCTACTTATAAGGGGGAAAGGTTCAGCCAAGTGGTGGTGACACACATCTTTAATCCCAGCACTCAGAAGGCTGGCAGATCTCTGAGTTCAAGACCAGCCTTGTCTACAGCCAGAGTTCCAGGATGGTATGACTACACAGAGAAACCCTGTCTTGAAAAACCAACCAAACAAACAAACAAAGGTGAAAGTCTATGTGGCTCCCAGTTCCAGAGGTTTCAATTTATAGGTGCTTGACCCTATGGCTTGAGGCCTGTGGGCCTGTGAAAGCACAGGACACCATGGTAGGAGTGTTTTACAGAGGACACTGTTCATATCAAGAAGAGAGAGAAGGCTGGTGTCCACATATTCCCTTCAAAGGGACATCTTCCGGGCTTGAGAGATGCCTCAGTGGTTACGCGTATTGGCTGTTGTTCCAGGGGACAAGAGTTTGATTCCCAGGACCCATAACATGGCTCACAACCATCTGTTATTCCAGTTCAATGGGCTCGGGCTCTGACAGCCCTTTCTAGCTTCTGTAGGTACCCAGCATGTATGTGCTGCACAGAGAGACATGCTCGCCAAACACTCGTGCAGGTAAAATAAATTTAAAATGAGAAAAAGAGCACACCTTCAGTGAAATATCCCCCTCCCTCTGGGCCCCAATTTTAAAGGATTCATCATTCCTCAGAGGCGCTGTGGGTTACAGTTCAAAAATTCAATACATAGGCCTTTAGGGGATATTCAAGATCAAACAATAATGATCACTTTACCAGTAGCAGGATAATTAAAAATACATGTTTTTCCATATAACACCAGGAAATAGCAATCTTGGTTTATTTTAGAAACTATGATATATATTTGCCATAGTCTAACCAGAGAGTGTCTAAGGTAGAAAGACCTAGAAGGATTAGCTGCTCTCTCACATTTCTGAACTCCCTTGAATTCAATTCAATAAATTGGTCAAGCCACCTACCTCTATTTAAAGAAACTACGTGTCTTAGGATTTCTATTGTTGTGATAAAACACTACCAAAAGCAATTGGGGGAGGAAAGGGTGTACTTTGCCTTCACCTCCACATCACTGCAACACCACTGCATTGCTGAAGAGTGTCAGGGCAGGCACTCAAGCAGGGAAGGGGCCTAGCCACAGCAGCTGATGCAGGGGTCATGGCAGGCAGGGTGCCAGCTGATGCAGGGGTCATGGTGGGGGTGGGGGGTGCAGGGGTGCTGCCTCCTGGCTGGCTTTTCATGGCTTGCTCATCCTGCATTGTTATAGACCCCAGGACCACAAGCTCAGGAATGGCATCAAGCACAGCAGACTGGGCCCTCCTTTATCAATCACTAATTAAGAAAATACCTAATAGACTTACCCACAGCGAGATCTTATGGAGGTATTCTTCTTAGATGACTCTAGCCTCTGTCAAGTTGACATTGAAAAAAGCCAGGTGGCACAACAAGGAAGAAAAGCCTTGGGAAATGGCTGAGTGGGTCAAGTTCTTGTCAACAACTGTGAAGAATAGAGTTCAACTCCCCAAGACCCATGTACTGTCAGGTGCCACAGTTAGCATCTATAGTTGGAAGATGGCAGGCAAAAGAAGGAGACTCCTTGGGTGCTCATGGCCCTGCTACTCTGGCATACAGTGTGGAACTACAGAGATTTCCTGTATTAAACGAGGTGGAAGGTGAGGTTGCCCTCTGACTTGTATGCATATGCTGGGTCTATCCTAGGCCTGGATGCCTGACTGACGCCGCCCTCCCCCCAACACACACACACACACACACACACACACACACACACACACACACACACAAATAAAAAAAGAGAGAACCTGAAAAGATGGAGTATACTGTCTGTGAGGCAACACATGACAATGCACATGCTAATTTTTCTCCTATACTTAAGCTTGTTTAAACTGCAACTGATCCGGTCTTACTCCAAGAGCACCAAAGCATGCTGGCTTTAATCCACTGTTAGCAAGAAAGATTCTTTAGGATTTGTGTTCAGCTCGTTAATGAGTGAGGCACTAATAGAGGTCTGACACAGAGGAAGGCTAATCATTATCGGTCGATTCTCCCCTGTCAATTATTAGCTGGTTATGAGTCTGTACTTTTGTGTTATCACCAGTGACTGGGGCTGTTAAAACGCACATGGGCGCATTATCGTTATCGATTCTCTGAGTGTTCTGATGTTCTTGTCTCACTAACTCAGTGCTACAGAAAGGTGCAACACCCAACACAGTCCCTGCCTCAATAAACCATTTTGAACATCGATACATAAAAAGGCAAACAGTGTCCAACAGTCCCGCAGAGACGCAGAGACGGTGATTAATTCTTCTTTTTCTCTCAGGAAACAACTACGTTATTCACCGGAACAGCTGTGAAGTTGAAGTCAGCCGTGTGGCCAATCGCGTCCTCGATGAGCTGGTTAGACCATTCCAGGAGATCCAGATAGATGACAATGAGTACGCATGTTTGAAGGCCATTGTGTTCTTCGACCCAGGTTTGTTTCCAAAACTGAGAAAGCAGTGGCATGCGACTTAAACTGTTCTTTTTCGTCTGTGTGCCTTTCCCTCTCACACTCCACGCTGATGACCTCCTGAGTGTGCCTGTGTCCGTTCCCTCTCCAGATGCAAAGGGACTGAGTGACCCCGTGAAAATTAAGAACATGCGATTCCAGGTGCAGATCAGCCTGGAAGACTACATCAACGACAGGCAGTATGACTCCCGAGGCCGCTTCGGAGAGCTGCTCCTGCTGCTGCCAACCTTGCAGAGCATCACCTGGCAGATGATCGAGCAAATCCAGTTCGTCAAACTGTTTGGCATGGTCAAGATCGACAACCTCCTTCAGGAAATGTTGCTGGGGGGTGAGTGCCCTGGCATCTTTTTCTTAGTGCTTAGCTTTCCTGTCCATGCGTTAGAACAAGGTGACCCCTGCGTTTCCTGTGGCCTCGATTTGTGTCATTACTTTGAGGTTCCTATTCCTCCCTGCCTTTGTTCTTCTAACAAGGCATACAAAATCTAATTTGTTACATTTAGAAAGTGCAGGGCCCGAGGAAGACAAAAGGTGGTCCTGAACAGATTCAAATGCCCATTCTCACCAGCCCTTGGCAATGCTTGTGGGTACGGCCCCTTTGACTTCAATTCTCAGACCCTTCCATTTGTGGTGAATAGAACATATTCCCTGCTTTTAGGGCATTGAGAAATATGGAAGGTTTTGTCTTTAGTTTCTTTAAAACTCTGAAAACAACGAAATAGCTGCTTAGCCCATGTATGAATCAAATGGCTGAAAAATGAACATTTTGCTCCTGAAGGAATTAATTGACATAAACTAATAGAAGAAGAAAATGCAGCTTCAGGTTGCAATAAATGTCAGGAATAAGTTAAGGAATCGTTATTTTATGTTCTGATACAGATTAAATTTCCTTGTAAAGTCACTATATTTATTTTTGGTTTTCTGGTACTTAATGTGTTCCTAATGATATCTTTCTGAAATAAAAGTTGTTCGTGCCATTAGGGTGAATCCAAATACTATAAACTTGAGGTAAGTGATTCTTGGAATTGCCTTAACAACAGGCAGTAAACCTAATGATTCCAGGAAACAGCACACAAGGCCCATTATTAATACTCAACATTATGATATAGCATTCATTTCTCCAATGCACCATGAAAGCTGACATTGTCTTTAACATGGGGTAACTCTCTCCATTTGTTTTGAATTTTCTAAAAGTACTTTGCAAATAGCACTATTTAAACTGTCATTGGAAACATGCATCAAGGTAAAGCCACAGTAAATGTCACTAATCCAAACACTTTTGTGTCTTTCGTAGGTGCTGCCAATGATGGCAGCCATCTCCATCACCCAATGCACCCACATTTGTCCCAGGATCCACTAACTGGGCAAACTATACTTCTAGGTCCCATGTCCACACTGGTTCATACAGACCAGATCTGTAAGTATCTGGGGAAAGTTCCTGTTATAGCATCTCTTAACTTTGGTTATTTGGGGAAATTGTAACTTAGGATAGGAAACTGTTAGTTCCCAGGAACTGCAGATCTTAGACAGGCTTCCCTCTGTTGTACTTAGCTCAGAGACTGAAACACTCACTTCATTACTTACTCTCTCTACATATGATTTGAATCCCAAACTGGGGATGTAAATACTTAAAACTTTCTATTCTATATGTCTGGGCAGCGTAAAACATACAGATAGTCATTGTCTTTGTGTAGGGTCATACAAATAGCCATAAAAATTGAAACCAAACGAATAAATTGTAATAAACAATAGAACAATTATGTTTGCTCATGACCTTTAAAATTGGCAAAATATTAAAAACTTTACTGCATATTGAAAATGTATAGGGAAAGTGAAAAGAACAAACTTGTGATACTGATTTGAGTAGCTCTAAGGGATCAGAAACAGTGAGAAGTACCACATTGTAATTATGTTGTTAAAATATACCTGAGCAGTCGGAGCAATTTTGTTGTTAAAAATGTAACAGAGCAACGTGAGCAGTTCCTGGTGTCTTCCTGCACTTGAAGGTGTCGCTGTGCTAGGGGTGGGGGGACCTAGGAGAGAATGGAGCCTGTCCATGAGGTGGACTCAAGTATTCAATAGCCAACTTACTCAGAGTCTGGCCCAATTTATACTTTGAAGGTTAAGAAAGGTCAAATAAGTACAGTTCTCATGAGTTCAAGCTCTGTACAATCACAAGGACAAGTCACATGTGGAAAAACAAAACATGTTTTTCCATAGAGTTATACAAAGGATAGTCGAAACATTTAATTGAATAACAACAACAAGCAATGATGAGTAATCTGAAGTAAACTCACTCCTGTCCTCGCCACCTGGGAGGAACAAAAAAAAAAAATTCCAAGAACAATTTCATTTGAAAGAAGCCAAGGTCATGGACTCTTGTCTTATTTACCTGGAGTGTTCTCACAAGCACTCAGGAATCTCCTCACATGACTTCGTTCCTTGACCATGTCCTGACAGAGAAGACATGGTTTTTGTTTGTTTGTTTGTTTTTGCCTGTGTGATGGTCAGTTTTACTCATTCAGGAGCTTGAATCAGCTTCCCATGTTTTATCTTCTCAATTTTCAATATTCTAAAGTAGCTGTGAAAATTTATTAGGACTTTTTTTCTTTGCTGATTTCACTTTCATTGTTCTTTTTTTTTTTTTTTTTATCAACAATACTTCCCTCACTTACACAGACCGGCATTTCTTCCTTGGTTCCTAGATGCATGTTTATAACCTTGAACAGCAATACTATCTGCAGAGCTATTTCTGCCATGGGCCTGTGTAGACTTGAATTTCAGTTTCCAGCACTATTGTGTATTGTCTCTTCACTGCTTTCCATCACTGTTGGCCAATTCGCCTTTCAATTGTCCAGTTTTTACATGGCTACCTGAGTTCATCATCGTGGGGCAAGAAAGAAGGCAACTCAATGCTATGTCATCTGCTTAAATAAAGAAAAGATATCAGCAGCCCATCACAGACAGAGAGATACACTGAGATCAGGGACTTGACATAAAGGCTTCTGGTAGTTAGGTAGTGGTTTCTAGATGAAAGGTTGAGAGGAAGTTTTGTTTATGCAGGTACATTACGTGGGTAATTGTAAGTTACCATGGTAACTGGATTTTAAACCATGTTGTTGAGCATAATGCATTTTAACTAAGCCATGGTAAATAGAATTCTGGTATATAATAATTGTGCAAAATGAGGCTACTTATGAAAATTCTTTACAATTCTAACAACTGTTAAGTATTATAGGTTGTCGGTGACAATGTTAACTACACATTAGTGTAGATTTAATGCAGGTTTTACTTTTCTAAGCTGCTCTAGGGATAAAAATTCAGTTTGACATGGCATCTAGAATTGATTGGTTAATCATATGTTAGTCAGTTTTCATCACTGCAGCGGTACCTGAGAGGGACTACTCAGCAGATAAGATTTGTTTTGGTGCATGGTTTGCGTGCTTTCATTGTGTGCTCGCTAAACCCACTCCACAGGGTAGATGACAGCGCCACAGACAGGGCCTAGTGCAGCCGAGCTTCTCACTGGACAGCAGCCAGGAAGCAGAGAACAAGAGACAGGACTGGATCAGGAACAAATGCTTTCTAGAGACAATCCGCAGAGATCTACTTCCGAAGCTGAGGTTTCCACCACTCCCAACACACCATTAGTTGGAGAGTAAGCCTTCAATATGTGATCTGAGGGAAATATCAAAACATAAAATAATTGCTTATGAATTTGTACCTATGAATCCAAAATTTACCTTTCATCTGTTTACTTTTAATACTAAACCAACTAACACACTTCACTGACTTTAATTATTGTGACATAATTTTATGCATATTTGCATTGCCTACAGAATATATAATAGTCTTTAATAACTATTTATAATGTTGGTAAACCCAGACGTTCCATGAAATTGCACAATTTGGAAGTTCCACTAGACTGTCAGTCTGTGGCAGGGAAATGGCCTGTTATCATTCTATCCTTAAGAACTAAACATTGATGGATATTTTATTGTCAGATATTTTATTGACATCATTGATGGTGTTAGAGAAAAAGTGTCAGAAAAAAATCTATGCATTCAAGAAATAATACCATGCATTTAAATCACACTTGTTATTAGCAAATATTATTTGAACAAAATGATGGATTTATGACATTTAAACACATCTGTGTTAACAATTTACAAATATTCACCCATCCACTGCTCTCTCACCCCCTTGTAATCTTATCTTTCATTTCTTAAATGCCAAAGGACAGAGAGATGGAGAGCCCAACACATTGCCCAAAAGGATGTAGAATTCCATCCGTGGGAAACTGATAATTTATAAGCTCAGAAATCTATTAAACATATTAGCAAATCCTAGGCATCAGTTGGCATCAGTTGGTTAGAGTTTGGAAACTTGGCTGGCTGTAGATGCCTTTAAAATGTTAGTGTTCAGCATTTAAGAATTGCATGTTACTATTTCCTTTCTTTTTTCCTCTTCAGAACCACATTTGTGAGACTTGCTGTGAGGGAAAAGTTGACTTTGCTTGTGCTTGCTTGGAACTGTTTGCAGTATATGCAAAGAGAAGTGTTAAACACCAACTGAAAAATTCAGTGTTTTCTTGGTCTTTAGGGAAGACCCCTAAAATTTAAAACTATTCAAATTGTCAAGGAATAATTTGAATACCAAATTCTATATCTCTATTCAACCAAGTGATATTAAGAATGCCATATTTTGAAGTAATTGCTAATCCACACTTAGCAATAATATAAAGTATTAATGGATACCAGTAAAAAGGAGATTGTTCTTGTTTTCATAAGCATTCTTTAAAAACTGAAAAATCTATAAAGTTCTTAATATGAGCAAACATTTAATGCTAGTTCCATTAAATATTTTTTTCTAAAATTAATCTTTTTATTTTATAATTTGGTAAAATTTTACGATAGGAAGGAATACTTTCCTACACAATTAAGTATTCAAACTACATTTCAAAAAAAATTCAATTCCATTTTTTTTCTTTTCAATTATGCAGTCTTGCACTTAGCATTGAAGCGGATGGACCAGGCCAGCTCAATCATATTAGGACTGTGAAGCAACAAACTAGTGTGCTGTAAAGGCTGTGGACTGAGGCTTAGATTTCAAAACTCACATAAAGTAACTGACCTTCAGTTTTTAGATCATCTAATATGTATGAACTAGTGGAATGCAAGCCACACATATTTTAATTTTATGCATTATCTTAACTGCAGATGTTATGAAGATTGCATTTTCTAACATTTGGGAGAAATCAACATGCTATTAATTCTCTTCACTAACTTCTTTCTTCTGGGTGTGATGGCGAATGTATGAAAGGCAGGAAACATCTTGAAGTGAGAGCAGATTGCTTAACATGATCATCTATCATTGTTTAGCTGTATTTAGGAAGGGAGGGTAAGTGTTTCGCCATTAGCATGTCAGTCTCCTGAAAATTCCTTATAAACATTAATGCTTTACATGTGACCTGTTACTCAAAATATAATAATGCATATTGGCATTATGTAGGACTTTGTGTGGTGAGGCAGAATGACCGCTACTCTCACGTACAATTCTCTACTTTCTTTTCAGCAACTCCAGAAACCCCACTGCCTTCCCCACCCCAGGGCTCAGGACAAGAACAGTACAAAATCACTGCAAACCAAGCTTCGGTCATTTCACACCAATCCCTCTCTAAACCAAAGCAGTTGTGAGAATGTGCTTGCTGCTGACTGGTACTGTGTAAATGTGAAACACATTGGTCTGCAAATCTCTCAGGATGGTACTTTTGCCAACTTTTAGGCAAGGCTTCTTCATGGTGCTCTTGTAAGCTGGTCTCCTATTTTCTTGTTTGTAAACACATTATGTTTATTGATGATGTAAAGTAAAGCCTTTACATGCAACCTATGTATATTTGAATTTGAAGTTGTTTTATAGTGTATTGTTTCAAACTATCCATGCACTGTGCCCAAACCACTGGGATCTTATGTATGACTTTCAGTTTTTTTCATAACATTAATTTAAATCTGTAAATAATTGCTTTGTTGTGATGTGATGCAGAATTAAGTATTCTTTTTGGTTAAAGTAAATCAGAAATACTAGGTAATATAAAAATTAACCAAATTAAAAAAATAAATTGTAAACTTGAAGATTAGAAGAGGTGAGCAGTAGCTGTAGACTAGAGCATTTCTCTAAAAGATAATATGTCAGGGCCTTCTGTTGCCTGCAGGAAATGTTTCCATGCTAACTTCAGAGAACTAACACCATTTTAGAGATGACTGGATAGTCTCTGCAATGTGACTATATTTGAAGAGGTTTGCTAAGGGAGACAAGTTGCTTCTTTCAGTTAGGATTCAAGCCAAAGTAAAACAAAGACATTCTAAACAATGGCACAACCAAAAGGGCATTCATTTCTCACTCCTGGGAAATGTGAAAAGTCACCCATTCATTAGAACTTAGCACATCCCCACACCAGCTCTCAGTGAAGCCAGGAGAGGCTTTTTATAGGGACCTTGGTCGGTTCAAGTTATGCAACTCTGGGAGAAAGGATACTGGGGAACAAGTCATTGAACACATTTGTGCAAACCAACTCTGGTTGGCTTTAATGAGATTAGGTAACAAAAGAACTCATGAAAGTCTACGGTGTGGTTTTGAAAATTTACAGGGCTGACAATGGAGTATTATTTGCCATGGTACTCATAAATGAAAGTGACAAATACAGAACTTCTCTCAGTATTTTCAGTGAGGATAAGAGGCCGGTTTTGTACTTTCTTCTATCCTCACATCTTCCCCTAAAACACAAAGAACATAAAAACATTGGTTTTGATGACTCAGGAAAATTTGCAACCTAGGAATGTACTGAACATCTAAATCTAGACTGAGGAGTAACCCTAACTACTTGAGATTATCCACAGCTGGGGTTTCTTTTAAAAGCATTAATCATAGGACACCTCATAAAGCAGCAATGCCTCTCTGTTCTCTCTCTCTCTCTCTCTCTCTCTCTCTCTCTCTCTCTCTCTCTCTCTCCCTGCCTCTGTTGTTCTTTCCCTCGACTATATTTACAGATGAAGTGAAAAATGCTTGAATATATATGTAAATATTATTATATAAGTATATAAAATTGAATATATATCAAAAGAAAAAAGCACCTGAAGCTGTAAAATTTTGGGTTAAACTTTTCCATGGCCCTTCTTAGTTTCTCAGATTATGAGTCATAATTTCCACCTACTTACAAGTGTAAAGATCATTTTAATATTAACTAACTTGGCTCCAAATGGGAAGTAATGTGGCAGCTATCAGTGGGGTTCACCGAATCAACTGTATTTATTCAGATGCTATTATCTTTATGAAACTAAAATGTAACCTTGATGGAGTGGGGAGGAAGAGAGAGAGAGAGAGAGAGAGAGAGAGAGAGAGAGAGAGAGAGAGAGAGAGAGAGAGAAAGGGGTATTCCTTAATTTTTAATATTTTTAAAATTTACTCTTGTTTCATGAAATAAGCAAGTTACTAAATTTCATGAATGCAAATATCAACTTTAGGGTTTGTCTACTTGTTTAATGTTAATCTCCTAAAAGAAAAAAAATAGTCTATCCACATCACTATAACAAAATATCGTCTACTGGGAAGAATAAACAGAAATTTATTTCTCATAGCTTTCCATGTTGCAAAGCCTAAGAGCAAAGAGTTGTCAGGTTCCCTCTCTGATCTGTAGATGGTGATTTCTGAGAAAGCTCGCAGGGGACCACTTTGGTAAGAACACCATTCTCATCCATGTGGGCTTCACCCTCATGACCTCTTCACCTGCCGGCATCTCCACCTTCACATATCATCATATTTTTGACTGTATTGCAACATAAATGAGGAGGCATATGGACATTCAGACCATAGCAAATAATTTAAAAACACAAAATATAAAATTTATTTTTGGTGAATAATGTATTCATAAAGATTTACTAAAAATATATGTTTTAGAAACTATTGCTAATAATTTTTTAATAACTATGGTCAGGGAACGTGTAATATAGTATTTTTATATACCAAGTTGTCAGAAATAGTGGACAAAGAAGAATTGATGTTTTCAGTGTATTATCATGATATTGTTAAGAAAAGTCATTGCGTTTATATAATACACTTTTTCAGGTGATAGATAAAAATAATTTATTGTGAAATAACAATTCATTTTATAAATGCAAAATTATTTTTATAAATTTCATTGTTGAAAATCAGAAATGAATAGTTTTTTAAATGTTGAATTACAGTGAGATTAAAATATTTCTAAACTGTGATGCCTGTTTTACTGAGCTTTCTAAATAAAAACTGAGAAAAATATAGCTAAAATGGAATGCTTCATTAGTATTTAAAACCATTTTCATAATTTTGCAAATATTGTCATTGTGTTATATTGATATGGAGTGGTCTTTATATAATACTCATAGAGGCAGAAAAGATTAAATTTTTAACATATCTCCAAGTAATTGAAGATTTGGACTCTGAGGGAAAAGATAATTTTATGCATGTCTCTATTCCTATAACTGTGTTTGTTTTCTTATTTGGTACCAGTAATTGACATATATGATTTAAGATGGCCTAAACATCTTGTGTGCATACCTTAGTACATAAATTGCTAGCCTAGTTAGTGTATTAGCTACTTTTTGGTTTCTGTGATAAACCACAAAAACCGAGGCAATTTATAGAAGAAATAGTTTATTTGGGCTTATGGTTCCAGAGGAGTAAGAGTCCATCACCACGATGGCAGGGGAAGCAGCAGGCATAGTGATGAGCATGATTCCTGCCACAGCAAGCTTGTATCCTGAACTGCAGCCATGAAGCCGAATAAGCAAAAGCTGAAGAATCTTTAAACTCCCAAAGCCTGCCCAGAGACATACTTCCTCCAGCAAGGCCACCCTTCCAAAATCTACCCAAACAGCGCCACCAACTGGGGACCAATTATTTGAAAGCCCTAGTCAATGGTGACAGGGGGAGGGAGAGAGGATGGGCATCTAATTCAAACCATTACATCTAGGTATTTATAATTAAAGATTTGGGGTGTAAAATTTATAAATTATGATGACCAATGTGATGGTTCATATTGATTATAAATTTAGCATCACCTAGAATCACCAAAGAGGCAAGCCTCTGGATATACCTGAGAGAGATTACATGGCTGAGATCAGCCTCTGGACATACATGAGAGAGATTACATGGAATAGGTTAGCTTCTGGGCACACTTGAGAGAGATTACATAGATTAGTTTAGCCTCTGGGCACACCTGATAGAGATTACATGGGTTAGGTTAGCCTCTGGACACACCTGAGAGAAATTATATCGATTTGGTTAGGATCTGGACACACCTGAGAGAAATTATCTAGACTAGGTTAATTGAGGTGAAAAGACCAATCCTAAAGGTAGGCAGTGCAATTCCTTGGTTTGTTTCAAAATGCACAAAGAAGAGAAAGCTTGCTGAGTACAGACGTTCCTTGCTCTCTCTTTATGACTGGATACAGTGTAAGCAGCTACCTCAAGTTCTGATGCTTGTGATGTCCCTACCAAGATGAACTGTAACCACAAACTGTGAGCTAGAATCAATTCTTCCTTCTTAAAGCTGTTCCTGAAAAGTACTTTAGCAAAGCAATGAGGATGTTACTAACATAGAAACTGGTACCAAGCTGTAGTGCCATACTGAGGATAAGCCTGCCTATATGGTTCTTAAGCCTTTGGAACAGCTTTGTAAAGGGAATACAGAAGAGGTTGGAATGCCAGCTGTGCTCGCTAGTTTTATGTCAACTTGACACAAGTTAGAGTCACTGGAGAGGAGGGAGGCTCAGTTGAGTAAATGCCTCCGTTAAGACTGGGCTGTAGACAAGCCTGTAGGGAATTTTCTTAACTGGTGATTGATGTGGGAGGGCCTAGTTTATTGTAGATGGTGCCATCCCTGGGCTGATGGTCCTGGTTTTATAAGAATGCAGGCTGAGCAAGCCAGTAAGCAGCACTCCTCCATGGCCTCTGCACCAGCTCCTGTCTCCAGGGTCACTCCCTGTTTGAGATCCTGCTCTGACTTCCTTTGATAACAGACATTGATGTAGAAGTATAAGCCAAATAAACCCTTTCCTCTTCAACTTGCTTTTGGTCATGGTGTTTCATCACAGCAATAGTAACCCTAACTAGGATATCAGGCTAACTAAGTATTTGAATAGATTGTGAGCAGAGCTTAATAGATCATTCTGGTGGGATGTTAGAAGGAAAGAATGCTGAGAGAAATGTTGACTGTGGAGGTCTAGATCCTGAGCTTCAAGCAGTGCTTGTTAGTTTGTGTCAATTATACACAAACAAGAGTCACCTACAAATATGGAATGTCAGTTGAAGAATTTCTCCTATCTGACTGGCCTCTGAGCATGTCTGTGGGGTATTTTCTTGATGGATGATTAACGTGGGAGGGTCCAGCTCTCTGTGGACAGTTCCACTCCAGGTCAGTTGATATTAGCTTGTAAAAATAGCAAGTCAATAAGGAGATTTTCTCCATGGCTCCTGCTTTTTGCTTCAACTTGAGGTCCTGCCCTCACTTCTATCAAAGATGGACCATGACATAGCCGTCCAGGCCAAATAAACCTTTTCCTTCCCAAGTTGCTTTTGGTTAGTTAATCCCAGCAACAGGACAGCATCTAGGTCAAGAGAGGAACAGGAACCCTGTAAGAAACTGGGTTAAGGTCCATTCTTGTGATATTTTGACACAGATTCACTGATACCCAAACCACATAAGACTCAAGAATGAATGAGAATTATAGGCCATTTTCCATTATAAACATAAATATTAAAATTCTCAATAAAATACTTGCAATCCAAATTGAAGATCACATCAAAAAGATCATGCACCATTATCAAATAGGCTTCATTGTAGAGATTCAACAAACATAAATTGAGAAACAAAACCCGTCAAATAAACAAATTAAGCCCCAAAGCAACAATAACATCCTATTTGATGTAGAAAAGTCATTTGACAAAATCCAACACCCTTTCATGATATAAAGTCCTGGAGAGGCTGGGAAAAAAGGATCATATTTTGACATAGTAAAGCCAATTTGCAGCAAGCCCACAGCCAATAATAACCTAAATGGAAAGAAATGCAATGCATTTCCACTAAATCAGGAAGAAGAGAAGGATGTCCACTCTCTCCATACCTATTCAGTATAGTACTTGAGTTCTTATGTAAAGCAATAATACAACTGAAGATGATGAAGATGAAACAAATTGGATAGAAAAAATTCAAAGTATCTTTATTTGCAGATGATATGATATACACAGGTGCTTCTTAAAATTCCACTGGGAAACTTACAGCTGATAAACACTTTCAGCAAGGTAGTAGGATAAAAAATTAACTTACACAGCTGCCTCCAGAAGTCCAGGTACGTCACTGTCCACAAACCTCTCCCTACTCACTTGGTGCCACCCCAACCCTCTTCCCAATCCTCACCCCTTCCATATCTCCATGTCCCAGCCCTCAACTAGGGTAGGCTCCATTTTCCATCAGAGATGACACTGGCCACCAAAATTCCAGGCTACAGTGACCAGAAGACCAGAGAGAAAATAGAAAATAGTGAATAAAACACCAATCCAAAAAGACAAACTCATAAATCTGTAACTTGACCTTTAATAACCCCAAACCCAGATGCCCAAGGCCAGCAGAAGAATATAATCAAAAACAGCCAAGGCAATATGTCCCCACCAGAGCCCAGCTATCTTACGACAGCAACCCTTGAATATTCCAAGACAGCTGAAGCAAGAGAAAAAGACCTTAAAACCAACTTTATGAAGATAATTGAGGTCCTTAAAGATGACATGAATAAATTCTGTAAAGAAATTGAGGAAAAGATAAACAATAAATTGGAGAAAAAAATTCCCTTAAAGAAAGCCAAGAAAAAGAAACAGTGGAAGGAAACAAATAAAACTCTTCAAGATCTAAAATAAGAAAAGGAAGCAGTAAAGAAAACACAAAGGGGGAATTCTGGAAAAGAAAAGTCTAGATAAACAAGAGGAAATAAACATGTACAAAGGAATTGTTAAATGAAAAATTCCTGACACAAAGCATCCAGGAAATCTGGGATACTATAAAAAGACCAAACCTAAGAAAAATAGAAATAGAAGAAGAATCCCAGCTCAAAAACCCAGAAAATATATTCAGCAAAATCATTGAAGAAACATTTTTAACCTAAAGAAGGAGATGCCTGTAAAAGTACAAGCAGCATATAGAATACCAAATAGATGGGACCATAAAAGTAAGTATTTTTATTACATAATTATCAAAACACTAAATATACAGAATGAAGAATATTAAAAGCTGCAAGGAAAAAAAAAGAGCAAGTAACATAAAGGAGACCCATTAGAATTACACCCATCTTCTCAAGAGAGACTCTATTTTATTTTTTTTGGGGGGGGGGGGCGGTGTTCGAGACAGGGTTTCTTTGTGTAGCTTTGCACCTTTCCTGGACCTCACTCTGTAGCCCAGGTTGACCTCGAACTCACAAAGGTCTGCCTGGCTCTGCCTCCCGAGTGCTGGGATTAAAGGCGTGCACCACCATCGCTGGCATATTTTATTTTATTTTTTGGGTTGCAAGAGAGACTCTAAAAACCAGAAGGGCCTGAATAGATGTCCTGGAGACTCTAAGAGACCACAGACTCCATCCCAGACTTCTATACCCAGTAAAATTTCAATCACTGTAGGAGGAAAAAAACAAGATATTCCATAATAAAGTCAAATTTAAACAATATCTATCTGCAAGTCCAGCCCTACAAAAGGCAGTAGAAGGGAAACTCCAATATGAGGAGGTTAACTCCAACCATGAAAATGCAGAAAATAAATAATCTCACACCAGCAAAACCCTTAGAAGGGGACTACACACACACAAACACACACACACACACACACACACACACACACACGCACAAACACACACACACACACACACACACACACACACACACGTGCACATACCTGTGTGTGCGCGCACACACATGTACCACCACTACCAACAAAAAACTGGAACCAACAGTGATTGGACATTGATATCTCTCAATATCAGTGGACTCAACTCCAAAATAAAAAGACACAAACACATACTACCAACAAAAACAAAACAAAACAAAACTCCTGGAACTAACAATCATTGGACATTGATATCTTTTAATATCAACGGACTCAATTCTGAAATACAAAGACACAAACTAACAGAATGGGTGTGAAAACAGAATCCATCCTTCTGCCACACACAAGAAATGTGCCTTAAAATCAATGACAGACATTATGTCAGAGTAAGGGGTTGGAAAAAT